GAGAGAGAGAGAGAGAGATGCACATTTGAGAGTGGTTTGTAAAACAAAGTGTGATATGTTTATGTAACTAAATGAATGATTCCACTGAATATTACAACATACTTTAAAGGTTACAACATACTTTAAAGTGTGATATGTTTGTAATACATACTATAACATACTTACCCAGTTTAACGTCGTGGCACGATGCATGATTCCTGACAATACCCAAGCTGGTGACGTGCCGTTGTTGTTCATCACATGTGTGTGTGTATCCTTATGAGACAGTAAAGCAGCAACCACTTTTGGATCACAGTTCTCCACAGCGAGATGCAGAGCAGTTCTTCCTTTGTTGTCCTGCATGTTGACCAGTTTGCCAAGCTGTGGCGTTGCGAGGACAAATTTCACAAAGTCCAGATGACCATAGTATACGGATGTGTGGAGGCACGTCCAACGCTCAACGCGTGCTCCGCGGCAAGGAGCATCTGGGCAGTGCTTAAGCAGCTCGCGTGCAGTGGCAACATGACCTGCGTGTGCAGCAACCTGAAGGAGAGAATAACCATCGCTCGTCATGTCATACCCTAGAGCGGGATCATGCTCCAGCAGCAGCCGTAGCATGTCGATCTTGTCACGGTACATGGCCGTGCACATTGGAGTATACCCACGCTTGTGAGCTTCTTTGGCCAGCCCAGGACGTTTGGCCATGATTCTTTTAACGATAACTGAGAGAGAATCAAGGTATGAATGATCATCATCGTTAATTAATTAACCGATCGACAAGAGATGATCGACGATAAGTAGCAATTAACTTAATTACGAGGATTATAAATGCATCAAGACATACTCGTGCTATTGTATTGTATATATACTACTTGGTCTGATACATATTAATTGTCGCTCAAACGGATGTATCTAGAGCTAAATATGCTGGATGGAAGGGAGTACTAGAGTAGCTAGGAGGTAGAATCTCACCTGAGTTCCCATTTCTGACTGCTGAATGGAGAGCATTGTAGCCGAACTGTCCCCCGTGATCAGAATCGCCAATCTCCAACAGTCTCAGGGCAACGCTAGTAAGATCTCTGGCGGCAGCAACGTACATTGGCGAGTCGCCGAAGTTGTTGACACCTTTGGAGAGGGCGGGCTCTGCTTCTATCAGCTCCAGAGCGAGCTCCGTGTCGCCGCTGCAGATGGCATGGTGGAGCGCACTGCATCCGTCCTTGTCTTTCTCCAAGATGGCCTCGCTCAACCGCCGCACTCGGTAGCGTCCGAGCAAGGCGGAAGCCACGGCCACGGAGCCGCTTCTCACGGCGGCGACAAGCGGCGTCTCGCCGTCCAGGTTGGTCTGGGCGAGCAGGGAGTCCTCTAGTGCGATCACGTCCACGCAGAACCCCTCGTGGCCATGGATGGAGGATATGTGGAGACAAGTGTTCCCCTGCGGGGTTGTTCCGAGAAGAATGCTTAGATCCTGCGAAGCCATGGCCTGCATCGACGCCGAGTCACCCGATGTGGCTGCTTTCAGGAGCCGTCTGTCCATCTGCATGGCTCCTGCTGATTTGCGTCTCTTTCTTCCTTCCCTTAACAGCAATCAAGCGAGTGTTAACAATACAAGAAATTTGCAAGAATTTAATTCGGTCAGAAGAATATTTCCACCTGACAATGCAAGAACATCAGACTTCTTGTCGCAGTCTTGTTGAAAGAATGGGGGATGGCGTCGACGGCAAGTTAAAGGGAGCCTCCCCCTCCGGTCCGGTCATCATCTTCAGTCTTAGTGGAACCTTTAAAGCTACGAGGTCTCCCTCCTAGTCAATCTTGTCGCCTAAATTTAACTTCCTCCAACTGTATTTTACTATTTCCTTTGCCTTTCTTTTGAACTATACACTTGGCCCAAAAGCAAAAGCCGATATACATGCAGCACCGAACGGGATTGACTGAAGAAAAGCATCATCTATAGTAGATAGTATATTTTATACACTAGTATATGTTATATATGCAATAAGGGGATAGCTTTTTTTTTTCTTTTCCTTTTTTGCATGGAGAGAATAAAGGGAATAGCTTTATATGTGGGGTACGGTAAAGGTTGCATCCTTGTATTGGCAAGGTATATATCCAGTAATAGTCCCTCTGAAACAACTACGACTGTGTGCTTTACAGAGAACCCCATGTATTAAGGTTTTTTGTGTGTGAATAGTATTGAGGATTTCTTGTCTTTGAATTGTAACTCTATCATTATGAAATAAATTATCATTGATCCTGCATTGCTAAATCTTAGTCGACTAATATTTAACCAAGTCTCACTCGATGCTATATTCGTGAGATCTTACGTGAAGATCCGTGCACAATTTATTTTTATTTTTTCTTTCTTCTTTTTACATGTTGTGTTTCCTGACTGAGGCTTCAGTCAATTGAGATCTAACCACTCTCGAAACAGGCTTTCCTCCCGCTTTATAGATAAAGGAACAACTGAACATAGTACACAGTCGAACGATACAAGGTGGAGAGGTAGCCCTTGTACAAAGCAAAGCAGATCCCGAGACAGCCGGATCACGTAGGAACAACTACGCTACCACAGGATACAACGCCACGCTACGCCCTAGCACACCTAAGCTCCATGACAATGCCCTCAGGAGGGAAGACGACGCGAAGCGTTCCTGCTGCCGAGTCCAAAGTGGACATGAGCTTTCGCTTGGAACCCTAACACGAAGAGGAGATCCACGATGACGTCTTCAAGAAGAGAGCGGCGCCAGCGAGCATCGTCGCCGTCAGCGCAAAAGCGCGGAGCTTTCGCTCGGCAGCTCACCCATGCCACACGAGGTCACCAGGAGAACCGCGACGATTCCAGACTCCCGGATCGGGATCTGGACATCGCCCCGGAAGGAGTGCGAGCCCGAGCCACCTGATGCTAGCCTCTCGTCGCGCACACGACCAAGAGGAGAGCCACCACTGCCGCCATAGTGCCCGCCGGAGAGCCAACCATGCAGCCCACTACCCGCCGCTGCCACCCCGGCATCCATGTCCCGAGTCACCGCCAAACGTCGACCTCACAACGCGCAGCCATGGTGGGAGGAACGGGAGGTGTCTCCTTCTGCTCCTAGCCCGGCATCAGCCACCCAGCCTGGGTGAGCACCCCCACAGTAGGGGGCATCCACGCCTGTGTCCCGCAACAATCTCCGTCGACTGTGAGGAACACTGCCGAGTAGCTGCCGACAGACACCGCTGAGCAAGCCCCGCACGATCCACAACCAGACCGAGTCAGACTCGCACGCCGCCGCATCCTTGGCCAATGCTGTCAAACTGTCTGCAGCATATCAGCAACATGGTGCCTACTAGGATCGACGCCACAAAGAAGCAACAGGAAGGATAGCACTAACGCGAGGGAGGACCAACGCGGACTAGGTCGGCTCCCGGACCCTGCACTCCGACGGACGCCATCCACCACCACCAACTAGATTCAGCCTCGAGGCCGCTTGGAGGACCGGCTGATCCGCCCAGGACACCCGCACCGCCCCCACACCACCCCCGCAAGAGCCAGCATCGAGAGGGCACACCACCGTCAGAACCACCAGGTCCACACTGCCGGCCGACCCCCACGCCGCCGGAATCACTGAGATCTAACCGCACTCACACAAGTAATACTAAAGACTCTAGAGACCTAAGGATTTTCCCTTTTGCTATATTTTTAGAGTTTTTTCTGTCGAAAACCGATTAATGTGGAGGTGGCACGTGTAACACAGGGGATGTAGGGGGTACAAAACATGGTGTGCGTGTGTGTTTTGCCTCCCGTCGGTTTCTAAATTCTTGGCCAGGTCCATGCATGTTGTGGTCGGAGATGCTCTTCATGCATGATGTGACCATGTGCATAAAAAATGCTACACCTATAAAACAAGTACTCCATTTGGTAAAAAATATAAGAGCATGTAAAGAAATATAAGAGCATTTAGATCACTACAGAAGAGTACAAAGATTTACTGAACCTTTCAAACTAATTCTCTCTTCCCCCTGAATTTAAGTGGGATGGGCCCCTCATCACCCTATTACCAATCACAATCATCCACATCAATTTGTATCTAAAATACAATATTGAAGTAAACCTTTGTAGATGTAGCATTACCCCCACGTGCATGCACTGACTATTTTTTAGCACTCTGATGGCCGCTTAACAGCGTGGGTAGTTGTGCATTTTCCGGTAATTGTTTTTGGCTCCTAGGTGCATATGCACCCATTGTCGAAATACACATTTTGAAAAGTTGAAAAATTCGGAACAAAAATCCCGCGTGTATATCCGGACATTTTATGTGCGTGCACAAGGTTTCAGTGAAAAACGACGTTTTGTGTGGCTTGTGTAAAAAAGACAATTTCTGATGCTTCCTTTCTTTATCTTTTTTACACAAGCCACAAAAAACGTCGTTTTTCACCGAAACCTTGTGAACGCACATAAAATGTTCCGGATATACACATGGGATTTTTGTTCCGAATTTTTCAACTTTTTGAAATATGTATTTCGACAATAGGTGCATATGCACCTAGGAGCCAAAACGCCGCTCTCTGCATTTTCCCCTTACCTGGATGTGTTGTTCATTTCGTATGTTGATGCATAATATATTGAAGTGAACGTGACTATGTTTTGCTTTTCTGTCCGTGTTTTGTTGATGGCTGTATAATTTAGTCTTTCAGCTGGAGTTGTCATCTGCCTGTAATGTTAGCATAACTCTATTTGGTACATGCATAATGGGAACCATGCTTCCTCTTGTGAAAGAATGGGAAACATCATATACCAGCTTTGATTTTGCTCTTCTGAAAGTAGATATCTTGTGAAAGTTTTTTATTTACCCGCTTTGATTTTGCTCTTTATGCACCATCTTATGGTTCCTCCTTGTTCATATTCCTGCAAATATAAATGGCATTATCGAATATAGGACATATCCTTTTTGGTTACAAAAGTATTGTCCACCACATGAGGTGGATGGTACTCCAAGATGCTTTACCCAAAAAGAATTTACCTGCTTTATATATAAAGCAATCATCACCAAACAATCTGATACAAACATACATCACCGTGACACATACACCCAAGGCAGGACACATATACGCTGAGAACAGCAACACCACTCCAATGTTGGGAAACATAGTAGAAAACAAAAGAAAACGCACCTACGATCGCCTAAGAACAATATGAAGATGCATAATGGGTTGCAATCACAATCGTTACCGTCACCGAGTTGCAGCGAAAGAAGAACGTGATGATGTAGATCGTATTAGGAGTCCCTCGAACTGTCGATGAACGACCCCGCGAACCGCCCACAATATTCTTCAATTTGCACATGTTTAAAGGTGAATCTAGAGATTCCACCAAAGAGTGCAAACTAATCTTGCTATATGGGAAGCGGCCAATCTTTGCCAACCTGCAAGTTAATTTTTACCAATGCATCCAATCTGTAAGTTATTTTTTATCTCTACTTGATTGCATCAACATGTACTTGTAACGGCATTTTGTATCGTACGGAGGAGCTTCGGACATGGCTAGTTGGGGAGGGACGCAGACATAGTGTTTTAGAATGATGATGCCTTCTTCAGAGTTCAGAGCAAAAAAAAAAGAGTAACTGAAAACAACAGACAAAGTGGTATTGGACGCGCTGCAATTGGGCCAACCAGGCCCGCGCGAGATTGACTCGGCCTGTTTGGTTGGCCCGTATACACCGTTCGACCTGCACGCCATGAACTTTAAAGCGCTCACATCCAGGCCCGCGAGCTACGCTCATATCGGCAGTTGCTCCAGAGCCAAGCACTACTAGAAGAAAGCTTATAGATAGAATTTTAGCAGTAGCACTGGAAAAGGGAACCGCGCTACTGCTAATTACCACCCGGTGAGAAACACCATCTTCTCAGAGCATTGTATGCTCAGAGAAAATGTAGAGCTGTCAAATTTGCTAACCGAGAAAGGGATGGTAGAGGGTCTTCTCTCAACCGTGACCATGATAGATGTAGGGAATATAAGTTCCACTCCATAGCTTGAAAGAGAGGAGACCCCCTCGCCAATGTCCCTTCCGCTAATCTTCCGCTCAAACTTAGCTCTTGCAGGTTAGCCGGGAGGGCGTTCAATGCCAGAACCTCATTCTCATCACTCGCATTCACATCTAGGTAAGACGTGGATTGCATCTGAACAAGAGACTTAAAGAGGTGTTCATAGTAGATTGCCTTCACATTCCATATCCTTAAGCTTCTAAGTTGCCTTAGCTCTCTTAGTTGCATAATGGACTCATTCTGCACTTCCAACGCTTGTAGAGTCTGTAGGTTTTTTAGGTTCCCAAGACCAAGACCAATAGGAATGCATACACCTCTGGCACATGTCGAATATCTTGTATTGGTGCTAATTGAGGCATATTGTCAGAAAATAAGTCCCTAAGCTTATTTAGCTTGACAATCCCTCTAGGCAACACATGTATGTCAGATCCAAGAAGGTCCAGTGTCAATAGATTCGAAAGTTTGTCGATGGAATTCGGGAGAAACTTCACTTTTTGGAGATTTAGCACATCTCCAAAACCT